CTGGTGATGCCACTAGAGGCCTCCCTTCAGGCAGATATTGTTGTAATCATGTTCATATGATTATTGAAACGTGTGGTAGGTAGAATCCTAAGAATGATCCCCAATGACCTTTCCCTTATATAATCTCCTCCCCTTTGAGTATGGGTAAAAATTATAAATATGATTATGTCTGTCCCATGATTATGTTTTGCTTTATGACAAAAGGGAAATGATTCAGGTGGACCCGATATAATCATATAAGCCCTTAAAAGCAGAGCTTTCTCCTGCCTGAAGGCAGAAGGGGAAATCAGAGAGATTTGAAGCATGAGAAGAATTTGGCACGCCATTGCTGGTTTTGAAGATGGAGGGAGCCATGTGCAAGGATGGTAGAATGGCTTCTAGTAGCTGAGAGATCCTCTGGCTAACAGCAACCGATGGGGCCCTCAATCCTACAGCTCATAGGAATTGAATTTGGCCAAGAGCTTGAATAAACTTGGAATAAGGCTCTTCTCCAGTGTCCAGATGAGAGTCCAGCCCAGCTGACACCTTGGTTTTGGCCTTGTGAGAACCTAAGTAGAGAATTCATCTGGACTTCTGACATACAGAAGTAGGATAATAAATGAGTGTTGTTTTAAGTCACTAAATGTATGGTAATGCCTTCATAGGAATAGAAAATGAATACAAACCAACTATGATCTCACAAATTCTTTGACTAGCTAGACCATATTTATTTATTTATTTGTGTTCATTGCTGAAATCAAGATACAGAATCTTTTGATATTTTATTTATCTGCCAGTTGAATAACTATGTCAAAAAAAGAAAAGATACATTTCATATATTTAATGCCTTAAAAAATAATACCTTGAAAGTGGACTGGCTTTCTGCTTTTCAGGTTACTTTCATATCTCTTGTCTCATCTTATCCTCCCTCATAAGAGCCTAGTGGGGCAGATAAGAAGAAATCCTATAGAAGTCATTTGCCCAAAGAAAACAAGACCGACTTTAGCTTGATAATAGGAAAGCCTTTCAAACAATTAGAACTGGCCCACTGTGGAAGGGGCCGCCTTCTAAAATAATAAACTGCCTTACTGGAAGAAAAGAGTACATGATCATATCTGAAGGATTCAATGGGAGAGAGCCTCATGTGGTTAAAGAGCCAAATCCCTGAGGTCTCCTCCAACACTAAACATTTTGTGTTTCCAATAAGCAACAAAACTAAATTGATCCATATCTGTGTTGGGGTTAGTTGGCTAGGCAAGAGGTTTTCTTAAAGGATTCCTTGCCATTTTCGCAATTGCTATTCTTTTTGAAGCAGCAAATTTATCTAAATTCCTTTGTACAAAGAAAATACTGCATGATGGGCCTCAATAACATATGTTTTTTAAGGCCCCAACTTTTAATAAGTTGACCAAGTCTCACAGACACTTTGTAGTAGAGGCAAGATTTGAACCCAGTCTGTCTGACTCCAGAATCCTTGCCTGAACTCACTATAGTGTGATCTGCCTCCCTCACTAGGAAACAGGAGCACATTGAAGCAGCTGGCTTGGATGATTAAAGGGATGGACACTAACAAGACCACAGATGGAATCTTAGAACAGGAGCATGTGTCCCAAAGGACTGAGACATCCTGCCAATTCAGTAGCCCAAGCATAATGGCAACCCCTGATGTGAAAGAGAGAAATGCTATTTCTTTCTTTCCTTTGTGTTTTTCTCATGGTCCAAGTTAAAGCCCCACTGGCCCTGTGTTAGTTATTAGAGCTTATTAGATAACCCACTTTCCCCCGCTGAACCTCAGTCTACACATCTATAAAATAGAGGCATTGGATTAGTTGATCACGGAAGTCCCGTCCAGCTCTAGAGTATTATTACAGGAAAAACATACACATTTTGGCATTCCCCCCAGTGCTTCTTCTACAATAATCAGAAGCTCAGTAGATACCCAAAAAGAGATTGACACCCAGTTCTGAGGATTTCTTTCAGAGATTCTTGAGTTTTCTATGAGAATTCTGTTTGTGAAGCCTTGTGCTTCTGGGCTCCCAGATTCGTTGAGAGACCTGCAGCTCCAGTGAGAAGAGGCTGGGCACTGCTCTCTGGCCAGCAGAGGGGACAGCCCTGGGGCAGAAAGGGGGTGGCAGGGAGGATGGGGAGGAGAGTCAGCTGCAGGCTGGGATGCCACTGGTCCAGGCAGCTGCCTTTCCTCCTGGGAAGTACAGGGCTGGGCAGCAACAGGCCCCACTAGTTCAAGAAGAAGCCTGAGGCTAGGAGAAGTGGAAGGCATGGGGCCAATCTGCAGCCGGAAACTCAGAGCCAGGGAGGGCACGTATGATTAGGCTGCACATAGGACTCTGTGAAGATCTGGCTATGAGTATTTGAAAGAGGAAAGAATCTTTGCCAAATGGTAACAGTGACCGAGCAAGGTGACACGGGATCCAGCTTTTCACCTTAACCCCAGGTCACTTCTCCTCGGGGCCTGCCTGACAGATCAACTCTAATGTGAGCTTTGTTCACAGGGAAAAGTGAGGCGGCTGCATGAGCCTGGCTCACCAGGGGTTAAATGCAGCCTGGGTCCCCTGATCAACTGAGTAAACATATTCCATCACACCGGAAAACTCCAGTGGAATAGTAATCCCACACGCCTCTCCTCTCTGCCTGAGGGATCTGCCTTCCTGGGTATCACTTCCAAAGGCCAGAGTAGATATGGGAATCTGCACTTATTTAAAGCAGAATTCGAGAACTTACTTCAAGTCTATTCAAAAGCATTTTGGTTCTAGGCTTAGTAGGATCAGTGGGGACTCAGTCACCACCTGGCACGAAAGGTGGTAACTTGGAGTCTCTGGTCAACTCTAGACATCAGATTCAGAAATAAAGAGAATTCATTTCGGAGGTCCCTTCAGATGTTCCCTCCCCGTCCATACTGCACGTTGAGCGCCTATGTATTGATTTGCTAGGTATTAAAAACTTAGCCAATGGCACATTTTTAACAGCTTTTTTGAGTTACACTTTTCCTCCCTTCAAGTTCACCCATTACAAGAGTTCAATTCAACGATGTTTAGTAAATTCACCGAGTTGTGCAAGCATTATCACAAGCCCGTTTTAGAACATTGCCATCACCCTATTTGCAGTCAATCCCCACTCTCGCCGCCGTTCCCAGGCAGCCACTCATCTGCTGTCTATCTCTATTTGTGTTTTGTGGACATCTCATAAATGAAATTATATAATATGTGATCTTTGGCATCTGAATTCGTTCACTTAGCTTGTTTAAGGTTTATCCATGTTATAACATATATCAGTACTTCATCGCCTTATATTGCTGAATAGTATTCCATTGCCTGGATATATGACATTTTGTTTATCCATTCGCTGTGGTGGACATTTGTGTTGTGTCCAGTTTCTTAGTGTTATGAATATTGCTCTGAACATACCTGTGTCAGTCTTTGTGTGAACAAGTGCTCTTATGTCCCTTGGGTAAATTCTTAGGAGAGGAATTATTGAATCATATGGTGGGCTGTACTTTTAAAGAAATTGCCAAGCTGTCTTCCAAAGTGACTGTACCATTTTACATTCCCACCAGCAATGTGCGAAGTTTCCAATCTTTCCACATCCTCGCCAACACTCGTTACTGTGTCTTTTTGATTATAGCCATCCTAGTGGATGTGTAGTGGTATCTCATTGTGGATTTAATTTGAATTTCCTTAATGACCAATGATGTTGAACATCTTTTCATGTGCTTAGTATGCAAAGGCACATTTCAAAGTGAGTCTAATTGGAAATTTAAGTCCCCTTTAAAAAGTACTAGAAATAAATTTAAAGACAAGTTTATTTTATTGTCAGTAAAAATAGTGACAGGAGGATTAAACAGATTGAATGATTGATCCATTCATTCACGAATTCATTTGCTTGTTTCATAAATAATTATTGAGTGTCTATATGTGCCTGGAGCTGTGCTAGGTTCTGGAGAAGAAACAATGAATAAGACATAGCCCCACCTCCATGTATCTTATGAAGATGTATATGGAAGATGTGTATTATATACATGTATCATACATTTTGTTGGAATTTAAAGTGGAGTACAGCAGAGTAGGAGCTCAACTGAGGTGTGTCTTCTCACTCCATGTTGAGGGGTGAAATAATACTTAGTGGGTGAAGTAACATCAAATATGAGCCCCAAGGGGTTAGTAGCAATCAACTGGCAAAGACTGAAGAGGAACGTCATCCAGGTAGACTCCTTGAAGGGTTGGGGGCTGGATGGGAAAGGAGAGAGGGACAAGCACGGTCCTGGTGTGTCTAGATGTCTTAGCCCGTTCGGGCTGCTGTAACAAAATACCACAGACAAGGTAGCTTATGAACAACAGAAGTTTATTGCTCGCAGTTCAGGAGGCTGGGAAGCCCAAGATCAAGGTGACAGCATGTCAGTTTCTGGTGAGGGCCTCCTTTCTGACTCCTGAGCTGGTGCCTTCTCACTGTGTCCTCACGTGGCGAAAAGAGCAAGGGATCCCTCTGGAGCTTCATTCACAAGGTGCTAATCCCATTCCTAAGCACTCCACCTTTGCGACCTAATCACCTTCCAAAGTCCCCACCTCCTACTACCGTCATCTTTAGGGGTTAGGATTTCAACATATGAATTTTGGGAGGTCACAAACATTCAGACCATAGCACCAGGCAAGTGAAAATAGCTCCTCATGAATAGGCTTTGGAGTACTGGGGCCTGGAGAGAGAGGAGCAGTGAGAAGTGAAGCTGGGGAAGTAGGCAGGGGCACGATGAGGAAAGGCCTAGCAGAGAGCCACTGATGTCCTTCAGGGAGGGAGCATCATGATCAGATGGTCCTTTAGAAAGTTCTCTCCACAGCACTGTGGGCAGCAGACAGGAGTCGGGGTCTCTGTGCTTTCCTTTACAGAAGTTGTGTCAGGCCTCCTATGGCCTTGAACCTCAGCTCTATCTCACTGGGGACCAGCAGGGCCTGAGCTATTCATCTGGCCACCTGTGGCACCGAGAATGACCTATGATCTCCTGTGTTTGGCAGGTGCTACATCACCCTGACCCAGTCTCTGCACCTGACCATGAGTGGGGCTCCAGCGGGACCTGCAGGCACAGGCAAGACGGAGACAACCAAGGACCTGGGCCGAGCACTGGGCATCATGGTCTACGTGTTTAACTGCTCAGAGCAGATGGACTACAAGGTACAGCCCCAGCTTCAGAAGGGACTAGGTACTGGGTGGCAGTCCAAACCAGGGATCAGGTCTAACCACACCACCCTAGTCCAGCTCAGAGGCCCAGACAAGGAGGTCTCTCCTCGCTCCTTCACAGGAGACCTCAGGACCCTTTACCCCTGGAGCTTGTGGACTTCCCTGTAAACCTTAGCACCGGGAATCTGCTTCCACTGATGAGATTTGCAACCACAGATGAGTTACTTCACCTTTGGGGTCTTCCTCTTGTCATGTCAAATGAAGAACTTGAACATATATTCAAAGGCCTAAGTTTGCTACTTGACCTAGAATCACAGAAGGGCTCATAAGTGGCTAACATAAAGTCTTCACATAAAAATCATATTTGGGCTCTGCGGTAAAAGGGGGCATTTCCCCTGGAATATCTACAAGGGCAAACTGTTCTACAAGGGCATGTGTCACTTCTGAAGACAGCATAGATTAACCCCTACTCCTTGCAAGAGATGCCCAAAAAAGACAAGTGCAAGGAGTGCAAGGCTAATGTTCTTCATTCAGGCACTCATTTTTACATTTTTTTAGTGTATCCCAGGTTCTGTGTCATAGAGGAAAGCAAGAGAAACAAAAGGCCCATGAGGTTACCTCTTAGCAGCATTCTGCTCACAACTAGACCTTATATAGATTCCTTTTTAAAGAAGTGTAATAACAGATTATCTCACTGTCTGACTATTTTTATTTTGTTTTATTGTATGTATTTTTGTAAACTGCCTTCAGTCCGTTTTGAAAACAAGATGGCATGTAAATAAATTTAGAATTGAAAAAATAAAACCATTTCATTAAATGGATTAAATATTTTATGTGTAAATCATATGATATATTAATTGTAAAATAAATTTAATTTAAAAATAATTTTAGAGACTGCAAGATAATACTTGCAGTTACCACATATAGAACTCTTTAAATGAGATTCATCTTCTATAACTTTAATAAGTTCTCACATATAAAATTTTACTGTGCAAAGGTTTGCAGAGTGCTATAGCACTGTGTTTTTTCCTAGCGAGCAGACAAGATGAGGATTCAAACCCAAAATAGCTGTCCTCCCCATAGTCTACATGCTCTAAATTTTAACATGGTTGCTTTTATTGATGAACACATTAAGATAATGTTTCTCTTTAAGTCAGGCTGGAAGAAGAAAGATTTTTTCCCCCTTTAAAGAAATAAACTCAGCCTTCAGGATTGTTTTATTTCTAGATTCTTCTATAGTTGAACAATGGTGGTATAGCTTCCTGAGAGGAACATTCTGGAGTATGCACTCATTTAGATGTAGAAGTCCTGGTGATTGACTCCAAATTGATTGAAGACAATCACCCAGATTTCTTCAAAGTCATGCCCAACATAGCAAACAGAAGGAGATGGGTTGGCCCATGGCCAGGGGTCACTAAGGTCATTTTACCTAATCCTTTCAAAACACATCACTGAACCCCGACCCCACTGATTCCTCTAAGAGTACAGGGTGAAAGGAGGAGTCTATCCTTTGTTTGAACTGTGCGTGAAGCTTCAGTCATGTGAGTTTAGGCTAGAGACTGATCAGAGTAACATCAATAGGTATAGCCATAGTGAAACCCTAAAGGGGTTTGGTGCCCTAGACATCAAACATCCTTTGTGAGTAAGCTGGCAAACCTCCTCTTCCCTTTGTTGTCCAGCTATTCAGAATTATTTTTATCACAAAGCACATCCAGCAATCAAGTTAATTTATTGAATGTCACCATTGCTCAGCATGTTTTGGGCATGATGGAAGGGTATCAAAAGTAGATATAGGTACATAGATAGATAGGCAGATAGATAGTCAGATGATAACTAGATAGATGATAAATAAAGTACAACCCAGTCCATTTGAGAGACAGGAAAGATATATTAAATAATTAGGGGGGATACCAGACAGTATTGCCCTGAATGCTAATGTGTGTCCTACAAACTCTAAGCTGTGGAATATTCCAGTGTAGGGGGAGGGCCACAGAGTGCACTGGTCAGGAAAGACATCATGGAGGGTGTGAGACCCGAGCTGTTTAAGGTTTGAGTGAGTGCAAAATAAGGCATGTGACATTCTAGCAAGGCTAACCCATTAAAATACCAGCTTTAAAGACATGACCAAGTCTTGGGTGCAATTGATGTCCTACCCCTCATTCTGACTTCACCCCTGAGCTCTCCTCATAGGGCTTGGCTGGGAAGAGGAGAGGGAGGAATGGAGTGAGGGTCAGGAGGACCTGTCATGGACTTCACCAGGCATCATTTTGATGTATTATTTATGACACAGCAACATATTCTGTTTCTGTATCTCTAGAGAAAAAGCTAGAAATAAACATGGAATGATGACTGAGTACATTAAAGCAGACTGAGGAACAGGAGTAGATAAGAGATGGGGTTGAAAAGGAAAGGAGGGACACAAAGCCACTGAGAGACTCTGACTTTGAAGTGGTGGGCTACAGAAAGACCCTGCAGCCTTCAGGAAAGAAGTAGGAGCATGATGAAAACAAATGGTATTTAAGGAAGAATCTTTGAGCAGCCAGATGAATCAAGATAGGAAGAGACTGGAAGGAAGGAAAGTATTTGGCGAGAACATTGAAGTCATTCAAACCAGAGAAGGTGAGGAGCCAGATGATGAGGTAGTAGGAATGGAAAACAAAGAACTAGAGGCTTAAAATATGTTTAAATAAAAACGATACCTGGGGGGCCGGCCCCGTGACCGAGTGGTTAAGTTGGCATGCTCTGCTTCGGCGGCCCAGGGTTTCGCTGGCTCGGATCCTGGGTGCAGACATGGCACCCCTCGTCAGGCCATACTGGGGCGGCGTCCCACATGCCACAACTGGAAGGACCCACAGCTAGAATATATGGCTATGTACTGGGGGATTTGGGGAGAAAGAGCAATTTAAAAAAAAAAAAAAAAGATTGGCAACAGTTGTTAGCTCAGGTGCCAATCTTTAAAAAAAAAAAAATGATACCTGGGGAACCTGGGGATGGGGTGGGTGGTGAAACAGAGGGAGGAGCTAAAGTGGAGAGTTTGGGCTGTAGTCAAGGACCTTTACAATCCCTTCCGCCTCAGGAAGTCTGTAAGGGGGCATCGGGTAATGAGGTGGGCATGAGAACAGTGTGGAACATGGGGAAAAGGGAAAGTTCTTGCTTTCCTCTAGTAGTGCTGGTTGGAAAACCCATAAAGCCAGCCACTTTCTCTGGAAATGGTTGCATTTTAGTGCTAAGATGTTCTTTATATGATAGCAGCAATACTTCCTCCCTTGACCTCAAGTTGGAGAGGCTGTTGATGAAACATCAAATGGGTTTGAACCCAAAAGTATCTGGAATTCTTTTGACCTCTCTGTAGCACCAACACTATAGAACACCCACTCTTTCTTGAGATTCCCTCCTCTCTTGGCATCTGAAACATTATGCTTCCACAATTCTCCCAACTCGCTGATCTTGCCTTCTCCATCTCATTTTCTGATCCTCTTCTATAATTTCAGGTTTTGGCTGTATATTGATGACTCCCAAATCTACCTTCCAGCTTTACCCAAGTTCTATTCCTTTACCTGCTTTATGTGTATACATTCTCTCCACAACCTAACTAGTAGTTCGTCAAGGGACTAGCCCCTCTGTGTCTAGCACACGAGCTATGCACAGAGCTGATAGTTGAAAAATGTCCACTGAGTAAATGAATGGGACTTTTCCATTATTTACAATTTCCAACGCTCTAATGATGTCTCCTTGCCAGTGGCCTTGAGAGTGTCTCCCAGTAACCTATTCTTTTATATTGCTTCATGGTTTACTGGTTTACATTGAATGCCCAGAATGGTTTTTATTTTTAGGACAGATATACCATCTTCCCTTTGAAGTTCCTTCCTTGCTTTCTTTTGAAAAAATTTACCTATAATTTATTTTCTCTAGATGTTATCACTTCCCACTCCCATCTCCCGCTTTCTATCACTCTGGGAAGCCTGGGTATTTGGGCATGGATTTAAAGATACAGACATAAACTTTTTCATCAGCACATGCCAAGGGCTGAGTGGGAGGCTTTTTGTCTGTATGGTGAAGGAAAAATAATCTTTTATTCATTTCCTGGGATTTTGAAAGCTAGAGAATCAACAGTAATGCAAGCCTGATGACATTTTAAAGGGATTTTGGTCCAAGTATCTTGAAAAGGTTCTGTTTGATCCCGTGGCTTATGTTAGCACCTACAACCATCAAAAATTTAATTGTTCTTGAAATTTTAATACACGTTTCTAACCAGTGGTCCTTAGGGGACTGGAAGTATCTGTAATAAAGAGGATAGAAAATGACTTAGACGTGTATGATATGCCCAGCACTGTTAGTAATTTAATCTTTGTACATTTTGTTGCAGTCTTGTGGCAACATCTACAAGGGCCTGGCACAGACCGGTGCCTGGGGCTGTTTTGATGAGTTCAATAGAATCTCCGTGGAGGTCTTGTCAGTGGTGGCAGTGCAGGTAAGGGGGCCAGAAGTTGGTGGGAGCCCCAAAGCCTTCATGCCAAGCGTTGTAGAAGTCTACATCCTGTTTTCAACCTCTCCTCATCTACTTCCCTGACCCCCTGCCTCCTCCCTCTGAAATCAGGTCCAAGTGCAGGATATGGGGATCCTGCAGGTCCCTACCAGGGTGGATCCATTTACTGACTGTGGCATTCCATTTTCTCTGCCTAAAATGGGCATAAAGAGCATCTGTGCCCCCTGCTTCATAAGGGTGAGGGGAGGATCAGACCAGATGGCAGAGCCCAGCTCCTTGGAATGGGCATGGACTTTGGAAATTGTCGGACTGGGGCTTAAAATTCAGCTCTTCCCTTGCCTGAAAGTCTGGGCAAGTTACTCCACTTCTCTCAGCCTAATTCACTTAATTATACAGTCATGTGATGCATAATGATGTTTCAGTCAACAACAGACTGCATATGTGACAGTGGTCCCACAAGACTGGTACCGTGTAGTCTAGGCATGTAGTAACCTGTACCACCTAGGTTTATGTAAGTACACTCTACAATGTTCACACAATGATGAAATCACCTAAGGACACCTTTCTCAGAACATATCCCCCTTGTTAGGTGACACATGACCGTATATAAAGTGAGGATTACTATGTGAATGTTATTGAATGAAGAAAGACATTTTTGGGTCAGATTTTATGTAACCATGCCACTTGTCTTTCAATTCACCTATAAAGCACTTGTTGAACACCCTCAACATAGTAAGTGCTGTGCTCAAGATTAGGGTGAAGGGTCCCCAGTTGAATAGGACATGATCCCTAACTTCAAAAGATGAGTTCTTGATGGGGCTGACCTGGTGGCATAGTGATTGGGTTTGTGCACTCCACTTTGATGGCCTGAGTTTTTCAGGTTCAGATCCCAGGCATGGACCTACACACCGCTCATCAAGCCATGCTACGGCAACGTCCCACATACAAAATAGAGGAAGACTGGCACAGATGTTAGCTCAGGGACAATCTTCCTCAAGCAACAAGAGGAAGACTGGGTGGGGCTAGCCCGGTGGCATAGTGGTTAAGTTCGTGCACTCCACTTTGGTGGTCCAGGGTTCACAGATTTGGATCCCAGGCATGGACCTATACATTGCTCATCAAGCCACACTGTGGTGACATCCCACATAAAGTAGAGGTAGATTGGCAACAGATGTCAGTTCAGGGCCAATCTTCCTCACCAAAAAAAAGAGAGAGTTCTTGAGACAGAGATGAGCACTGTTCAGTGTTCTAGAAGTGATTTGAATTCTGACTGGCAGTATGGGACAAGACTGCTAGATATGTTATCTTGAAGCCAGGCCTCAAGAAGATAGAGAGGATTTGGATTATGATAAGCATCTCATAGACAGTGGGAGCAGTGGACAGGGGGCGGGGGTAGGGAAAGTGAACAAACCTTTTTTGAAAGTCTGTTCTGCACCAGGTACATCTCATATATCATCTCTTATACCTTGTATCTTATGTGTCTCTCTTATCCCCACAACAGCCCTATAAGCCATCATTATTAATGTATATATAGAATGGAGAGAGGGACTGAAGATCAGAGGTGAAAGGGCACACCATTAGCAAGTGGCAAGGTTAGTATTTGAAGCCAACACTGCCACCCATGGGATCGAGCACAGATTTGGTGTATATGGGGTAAAAGTCTAGAGGAGAATATGAGACGAGAGAGACAGGTTTGAACCAAATAGTAGACAGACTTAAATGCCATGATGTGGATTCTGCTTTCTTCATTGGGCCGCAGGGCACCCCGGGAGGTTTCAGAAAGGGAAATTACCCTCCACTTGGCAGCAGTCATGGCAGGGGCTGGGCAGGAGGAGAATCAGTGGCTGCAGTCAAGTCACGGGTCTCTCACGGGGGTCCTGATTGGAGCTGCAAAGGCCTAAATGGGAGCCTGCTGCCCCCAAGGCCCGCAGTCAGCATAGTGAGCTGTGTCCTTTGCCAGCACTAAGCTGAGCACCCCCATTTCCCACTAGAAGAAACTCTGTGGTTTCGGAGCCTCCCCCTGGCTCTTGTCTCAACAAGGCAAAGCCAATGTCAAGGTCCCATACAGTGATCAAAGCTCTGGCGAGGTCCTTGGGGCGGGTGCTCCTAGTTTGTACCCATATACCATATGATCAAAAATGTTTAATTTTCCTCTTATCAATTGCTTTTATTTTCAAAGCAATATGTATACAGTACCAAAAAAGAAAACTGGAGCTATGAGGGACTCTTTGGTCCCTATAGGGCTCTGTTTAATTCTTTCAGCTCTAGACAAAGGAGCAAGGACGAAGTTTAGCTGAACTGACATTTTTCTTAAGTATGCAGAGTTGAGGGAAAGGGCAGCAGAAGCGGAGTGGGGTGATCTGCAGACGGAAGGTTGTCCATGGTGGAGGAAGCCAGCGGGGGAGCATCCTACCCCTCCAACTGGCCTGTCTGCCCTTGGCAGGAGCCAGCCTCTATCCATATAACCCCCACATGCTGTCACCTCTCTCATCCAGGCGTCTGTTGCTGTCACAGGTAGGCTGGACTTGGAGCCGTGGGCAGGTGCTGAGGTCACCACATGGCTGAACAGTGGTGGAACTCATACCATCAGCTAGTTCCATCACTAACCCTTGTCTCCAGCTGCCACTGGAAGGCATAGGTGGTCAAGGGCTCTGCAAGGTGCCTTCACTTCCTCCTTTCCTAAAAGTGGTCAGGCTTTCCATCTCTTGCATGTGACAGCCAGTTGGTGCTCCCACCCACTGACTCTTGCCTGAACTATTTCTTGGTGAAGCTCCTGAAAGTTGCAAAAATGTGGAGCTCTTCTCTCATTCCCAGCAGTGATTAATGGTTTTCCCTTTCTTTATGTTTATTCGACTCAGTAGGGGCTAGTAGAGGAAGGAAGTCAAATGGTTAGCCTGAACATTCTCTTGGACTGAAACCTTTGACTAGCTCAGTTCATGTTTCAGGCTGTCGCATTGGTAGCTGAAACTGGCTGTGGTGGCAAAATTTTCACTGCGGAAACTGGCACATTCTACAAATTAGGGGCATTTTTGCTTTCCTGGAGAACTGGTTGTTAAACATATACCAGCACACCTCTGCCTTGCAAGATTGTGAAGTCAGTGTAGCCACATCTTTTCAATCTTAAAGAGAAGCTAAAAGTCCAGATTTTTATTTAAAAATCTCTAGATTTCTAAAAGTTGTCAACTCATTCAATTTAAAAAAAACCTGGGCTGGACAAAGAAAGCACATTAGCTGGCTGCATTCACCTTTGCACGGTCACTTCACAACTTGGAACCAGAAATGATGCACCTGTAAGGTCTCTTTGAAATTTGGGTATAATCTATTTTCAGGCAGAAGATGTGGAGCCAAAAAGTCCCATAAACCTTTCTCAGAGAACTAACTCTAGGCTGGAAAGGTTCTGAAAATCAGCAGAGAAGTGTAGGCTTTTGATTGATAAGCCATAATTCCACCGCGTACCTCAAATTTTTCTCCTTACGTCTTCCACTGCAGATATCTAGTGGCTGATGTCTTCCTCCATCTTTTTATTCCCTTGCCCACTATCCTCTGGTATTTCTACCCACCTTCATGTCCACCTATCTCATCTTTGCTTTTATAATTTTCTGCATCCTCTCTTCTGCACCCTCGCTGCTTGCCACAGATTTCAGAGGGCATTTCCTCTTCTCACTAGCCAGGTTGCACTCCTGTGACTGCACTCACTCACACCCAGGACCATTCATCATGAATAGTTACACCTATGGTGCCCCGACGCAGCACTCAGTGCTGGGGGGCGGGGGGGGGTGCCAAAGGGCTCTCTTAGTGTGTCCCCCCGCCCCCCACAAGGAGCCGAGGGCAAGAGAAAAGGGAAAGCAGTAAGAACCAGACCAGGGTCAAAATAAAGCCCATCTTGGGATCCAGAGATTGTGTGAGCAAGTTCCACGTGCGCTTGGGATTTTAAAAGAAACAGGTTCCTGCAGAGTGAAATTAGCCAGGCAAGTGGGCAGGGAAGTGGTTATGTGTGTAGGCTCCGAAACCACACTGCAGTGTTCAATTCTGGTTCAGCCACTTACTAGCTGTATGACCCTGGGCAAGTCCATGTCTCAAGTTCCACATTTGTAAAGGGGGTTAATAATAGTACCTACTTGGTGCAGTTGTAATAAATATTAAATGTGTTAATATGTGTGAGGCACTTAAAACAAAGCCCTACAGATAGTAGGCACTCAATAAATTTTAGTCTCTGTTATGATGACACTGGTAGTGGTGGTGGTGGTGATGATGATGATGGTGGTGATGAAGGTGGTGATGGTAGTGATGATGATGATGGTGGCGATGATGATGATGGTGGTGGTAGTAATGTTGGTGGTGATGATGGTGGCGATGATGATGGTGGTAATCATAATGATGATGGTGGTGATGGTGTTGGTGGTGATGATGATGGTGGTGGTGATGATGATTACTATCGTTATTATCTGAACATTGCAGGAAATGGGTACACACACAGGGCAGGGAAGGAGGATCCACATCCTTGTCACGCCTGTCTCCTCTACACACTTCACTCCTTCTTAGCTCACCCTCAGCTATCTCACTAAAATAAATAGTGTCCTAACAGATGAAGCAGTGCCCAACAGCCGTTGTCCCCAATGCATAATAGATAGACACTGTGAATTTGCCTTATTTTGAAATTGCCCAACGCAAGGTCAGTAATGGGTTCTCCAAGATCAGTTTCCTTTACTTCTGGAATTAAATAAATTTAACCTGGAATTCCCTGATGCTTTCCTACTCCAGTCTAAGAACATACCCATAGAAGATATTCTCAAGAAGGTGGTCAAAAAACAGCCTGGGCAAAATCTGAGCTGGTAACATTTAAAATCATGTACCCATCCAAGGAGAAAATTGCACTTAATTATTGACAAGGTAATCGAGGCTGGCATATTGGTTCAGAAGCCACACCAGCTGTGACACTTCTTCTCCCCCATCCTCCTCTCCCCTCGTCTGCCTTTCCTCCTCCC